CTAGAACCGAGGCAAACAGCACACGGGCACGTAGCTTAGCCTCTGGAAAACTAACTTCCCCCTTGCTCCTTTTTACTAATACTTTTTTTTTCAAACTTGTACCTTTTACATTACTTTGAAGAAGCTTCATGAGCTTCTTTGCAGTGGTAACAGCATATTGGACCTGGACAGCTGGCATGACCTTGATGACCAGTTGTACCACACTTTTACACACTCTTGGTTGTTGATTTTTCCTTAAAATGGCTAGTGTTGGCTTCATAACCATAACCCTGGCAGTGGAAGCACCACATAGGGTTGGACATGCATGGCTTTACCTTGAAGTGGTACCATGCCAACTTAACTGATTCTGGAAAGACTAACATTTCAAAACTTAAAAGGAGAGATGGCGTTGACTGTCCCAAACCATCAACTTTCTTCTTAAAACATTTTGGTGCCACTACATTGAAATTCTTTACTTCCTCTAACAGTCTCTCCTCGGAATTCTTGGATTCGAGCTGACGTCACATGCTTTTTTTTTTGTGAATGCGCGCACAGCTGCAGTGAAAACAGTTCGTCGCCTCTAATTAGAATCACTGCATTGAGCACTATATCAGAGGAGGAAATCTTTTGAATTTTTTTCTTCCTTTGAGACACTGTTGCTACCTTTTCTCTTCTCTTCTTTGCTGATTTAAACCGCTTCATTTTCTCTTGCTCTCTTTTAGCAACTTTTTGCGTGTACACAAAAATGGAAGGGACATAGTCTGGATGACTTGGATCCTTCTTCATTGGCTTCCCTGAAAAAATTACTCCTCTTTATTCCGTTCAGAAGCCAAAAATAATGCCTCAGACGACAAAATTGGGGAGGGGGAGTTTGATAAGAATAATCACATGACATGAATCCAGGGCCATGAAAACAATTTACCCTTGGCCTAAGGTAAGTTTTCATATGGTTATTGTTAGTTCTCCAAGGCTCAGAACCTTGGTAGTTGGACTACCTTTATAAGTAAATTTTGATTTTTAGCATCAAAAGCTCGATTCTTAGCTGTAATGAAGTGGTTTCCACAAAGGTAAACGTTCCTGCCCTTAGGCCTCCATGGCGTGCCATCTTTGTGTTGGCGTTTGCATGCGTTTATCCATTTTTCCCGAAGCTCTTGGTCATTCATTAGGAAAACGGAAGAATCCAGCTTTGTTTTCCATTTTATTATGGTTTGTGCAGCCATATGCAGCACAACTTAAAGGCATTTCGAAAAGCAAAACTAGCGGCTAATTACAAACGAGGAAGAGTACAACAGCTTCAGTGAGGAATGTTTTCACTGCAGTTGTCGTTGCGTAGCAACTATGATCGCATGCGCCGCGCATTTCGAATCCGAGAATACCTCATCAGGTCTTGGGGAAAGAAAATCCTTACATTGATTGACTATTCTGTGAGGAAAACGTGAGACTTGAGCCCTAGGAATGTTGCACATCACACGCAGACGGTCACTCTCGTCTGGTGACGAAACCTCAACTATCAGGCTACTATCTCGCTGTGGGGTGATGCAAAGATCATGTTGTCACACCTCAACTATCTCCTGATGTACTTCCAAAATATCAAGATCCATGACTGATACACCATCAATGGTCTTCACAACTAGGTATTTATTGTATGAAATACATTCATATTTACCAGGTAAGATTTCCTTTACCCAATGTTGCATATAGATGGCTCCACATGTACTCAGCAGCAAGAAGTCTATCAGTTGGCTCTAGTGACCGATCCTGATTTCCAAATTCCTTAAATTGGTGGGAAAATGTGTTTTTCTTAAAATAATAAATAAAGGAACACGGTAAACAGGTGAGATAGGTAAAACTAATACCTGATGCCTTGGTGACTAAGCACTTGTAGAGCCATCTATGCCTAAAGACAATATGTAAATCTTTTATTACAGTGGACATGTCATTGTAGTCTTATCACCTGCACTCATTGGGTTAACTTTTCTCCTTCTTACCTGTTTTGGGAGCCCGGGGGAAAGTTCCAGAGTGACAACATGTGACATTCCAGAGGGATTGGCTAGGAGATTACGTAAGCTGTCGGGGATAGTGCTAGTTCTCATTAAATTTGTTGAAATCATACAAATTAGAGTTCTTCATTTCCTTATCCCCCCACCCACCATGAAGGCAAACAAGGAGAAGCTTTAGTTGAGACCCAAAATCTCCCAACAGCAACATGGGTAATGGGGAAATACACGCAGTCACTATTACAATACTGATGGCAGTCACGGGACCTATGCGCTACCGACTGGACAGTGCCTGCTTGACCCTAGCCATATTTAACCAGCCAAATAGACTTGACCGGAGTATCAAGACTTTTTCCGTGCCTTGCTTCTATTGTTTGTTTCTCAATAATATTTTATCTTTTGAATGTACAATTAATTTACAGACCAATAGAAACATTCATCTATTCACACGGACATTCATGCTAGTTTTAGTCATTGGGTAGTTTGCTCAACTAACTTTCAAGCCTCATTCATACTCCAAAGAA